AGAAGGCCAGATCCTGAAGAGGAAACTCAAAGACTTTGGCCACCTAATGAGAAGGAAGGACTCACTGGAGAAGAGCCTCGTGCTGGGAAAGATGGAGGGCAACAGAAGAAGGGGATGACACAAAATGAGGTGGCTGGTTGGAGTCACTGAAGCAGTCAGTGGGAACTTAAATGGACTCCAGAGGATGGTAGACAACAGGGAGGCCTGGAGGAACACTGAACGTTCAGAAGCACTCTGAAGGGCAAAAATGGGTGCGTTTTTGGCAAAAACAGGCCATCCGTAGCACTGCAGAGTGCTTCGGGGGCCGGGGAGAGCAAAAATGCAATGCACAGAAGGTTCAGCAGGCCAAAAACGCCCATATTCGTTCTATAAGATACATCTAAATTTTCACCCACTTTTAGGGGGGGAAGGTGTGTCTTATATTCCAAAAAAGACAGTAAGTACCACCAGACAATAATCATTGAAGACTTTTTTTGGCACTGACAAAATAATGGCAGTCTTAAATGTCCTGTTAGAACTTAACAATGTACTAATTTTATGAATGTTTTGATTTAGAAGCGTCAGAGGAGAGAAGAAGAAGAATTGCACAAACTCCTTGAAGAAAGTAAGTGCCGCCTTCAATTATCGTGGTTCTTCTGTTCGTAAAGTCTACCATTGCAAAGATCTTGCTTCCTTCTCCGCCCACTCCCACTACCAGTGATTCTTAACGTGTGGACTTCAACTCCCATGGCTGCCTGGGGAATTCTGGGAATTCAGAGTTCAAAGCCTTTATTGCCATTGTACATCATGTATACCAGTGGTGGGTTTCCTTTTTTTTTACTACTGGTTTGCTCGCATAGACGTGCAACGCTTCTGTGCATGCACAAAAAGAATCCGGGCGGGTGGGCGGATCTTCCCGCCGACGCTACTACCGGTTCGCCTGATCCAGGCCAAACCAACAGAAACCCACCTCTGATGTATACAGCGAGTTAAAGTCCACACATGTAAAAAGTTGCTGTGGTTGATGGGATGTAAGCTAAACAGCAATGGGTTTCAAGGCTGCTTTTTTTTTAGCAGAAATGTATTTCTTTTGTGACTTTGTTCTCTTTGTGTATAAATCAGTGTGGTTTATAGCAGCCTGTTTTTATATTTGGCAATTTTAAAGAAAAGTGCAGCATCTCACCGGACCAAGGTTGACTCAGCCTTCCGTCTTTCCGAGGTCAGGTAAAATGAGGACCCAGATTGTTGGGGGGCAATCTCATCCATGGAGATACACTAAACAGAGCTAAGCAAACACTTTATACATAATAGTAACCATTTTAGAGCCGAGGTGGCGCAGTGGTCAGGGTGCAGTACTGCAGGCCACTTCAGCTGACTGTTATCTGCAGTTCAGCGGTTCAAATCTCACCGGCTCAAGGTTGACTCAGCCTTCCATCCTTCCGAGGTGGGTGAAATGAGGACCCGGATTGTTGGGGGCGATATGCTGACTCTGTAAACCGCTTAGAGAGGGCTGAAAGCCCTATGAAGCGGTATATAAGTCTAACTGCTATTGCTATTGCTATTGCTATTTTAGTAAAGAACACTAAAATAGAATTGATACACATGATGTATTTGGGGGTGTAGTATAATAAATTTATTTCCCTGTCCACATTCAAAGGGGCAAGAGTCCAATTCTGCATTTCATAATTTCAGTTGACCTTGAAATACAGAAGAAAACCACTGCATTCGGGCCCCTCCCCTTAGTTTCTTTAAGATCGTCTTTTTTTAAAAAAAAATCTGAATAAAACGCCACTTTCATCTTCCATGATTTGTTCTAAAGATCCCATGCTGTTGGAGCGGCTGCACCCAGGCAAAGTGGATGGCGTGCTTTCCCAGTACACCGCTGATTTTCAAGAGCAGGAAAGCTTACCTGGAGCTGGTTCGGCCGAAACCTCGGCGGCTTCCGATGTTTTCCCCTACATGGATCATTGGAATGTTCACACTCAGAGAGTATCGCTTCGGGAGATCATGTCGGAAGAAATTGCGCTGCAAGAAAGACTAACAGTGGTACGGTATTGCTGCTGTCTCTGCTGGGTGTACTTCCCGGGGGTCTCATCCTGAGCTGTGTTTGTTCTGACCGAGGCTCCCCAAGAGCATGAAGCAAACTCCTGGTCCTGACAAAAAACCCTTTTATTAATTTACTGTGAAATCACAGCCAGCAAAGTCTTTCGAGGGAGGATTTAGTCACAGATTTTATCGGGCTTGGAGAGCTGCCCGGCCTAATATGTGCAAAACGTGGCAAGGAGTCTCGGAGAGTCACGAACCAATTAAACGAAGTGCCGTAATTGCCTCCTGCAAACTCCACTCTCCTTTCGCTCCTCTTTTATTTCCTCTGGGAGGGGCCATTCACTGTCCACCTGTGGCCTTTCTCTCAAATCGATCCCTGTTCTTTAACTGTTCCCTTCGTCTGGCAACACTGCGCATGCGCACACTGGGAACAGGCTCCAGCTGTTCGTCCACCTCACAGAGGTCTGACTCTGAAGGCAGCTGATAACTGGCATTCGGCTCCGGCCCCCTCCCTGCCTCCGACACAGAGCCCCCATCAGAGCCTTCTCCAAACTCCAGGACTGGCCCAGGTTCCTCCCCAACCTCCTCACTCTCCAAATCTGCTATCAACTCTTCTGGCAAGCCACAACAATGTTGTGATAAGGGCTCCCAACAACTCAGCTGCCAGTTGTCCAGTGCTTTGCAGCATTGTGCTCTCTATTGCATGGGTTTTCTAACCTTGACCATTTTAAGCCTTTCAACTCGTAAAGGTCTTAAAATGGGGTAAAACTCAATAACCTCTGCTTAACAACGGAAATGTTGGGCTCAATTGTAGCTGTAAGCCAAGGGCTACTTGTATATTTATGGATAAGCCAAGAATTTTAAGTGCCAAAAAGCAATCAAAAAATTGGGTTCACCTTATCGGTGGCTGGGCTTATGCACCAGTATATATGATGATATTTCCTAAAAGTACAGTACCCATATTTTCCATATGTATCTGTGGATAAGCCAACTCTCAAATCTTTAATCCAAAGTACCCTGAAAAATGCAATTTTCATGATCCTTTAAGAAATTTGAGGATTGGCTGATAGGCTTACATGCAAGTAGATATGGTGATAACTAAAAATTGTGCTGTGATTTAATATTTGCACTGTTATCGTAGAAATACTTTAGAGGTATCGTTGTTTTTTCTCTTTTTTTCATTTTGTGGGATAGAAACCTTCCCCTTGCATTGCTAAAAAAGACTGTGCTGCGAAACTGAAGGAGAAACAACTTCTGGAGTTATTCCCAACCATCAGCGCAAACTTTTTGATGGACATCTTCAAGGATAACAAGTGAGGCTTTCTTTCACAATGCGATGCCCATCAGTTACATGGAAGTTGTTCTACCTGAGGTGACTCCTTGTGTTTTTTGTTGTTGTTTTTGTAATTTGCCAGTTACTCCTTGGAGCAAACTGTCCAGTTCCTCAATAACGTTCTAGAGGCAGATCCCATAAAAACAGTGATCGCGAAAGAGCCCGCTCAGAATGCCAGGCGTTCTCCGAGCATCGCTTCCAAGACCCGAGAGAAAAAGGTAAAGGCCGCCTCGCACGAGCGTTGCAAGTCTGGTTTTGGAAAGGGGCTTTTTACAAACACTTGAGTGAAGCTGATGCTCTCTGAGCTTGGTTGGTTTTCCCGCAGACGTTTCATTAGGCAAGGAGGGGAACAAGATCTACGTACTCTTCAAAAGAGACAGTCCAAAAGCCCAAAAGATCACAACGCCTCCTGACCAGCAATCCACAGTCAGATATGCAGAGATTAATGTCAAGTGCTAAACAGCACCCCCAATTAAGGGACTACAAATTCAGTAAACGATACCCTAATCAAGACACCAACAACAAGACTCCCACAACGTTGACAGGGCAAGCCGCTTATATAGAAACAGAGAGAAAAACCCCACTCCCTTCCAGCACTGATGATGTTACTTAATAGGGTGATGAAATGTCCAAGAGAAAACCACCAATCTCAGAGGGCACCAAGGACTTTCTCCACAGCCTTTCTCTTCCACCACTTCCTTCTCCGTAAATCCCCATCTCTTCTAACACTGATGATGTTCCATAGTTGGGTCATGAAACTTCCCCAAGAAAACTCTAGAGAGCTTGAAGGACCCCATGGTCGTCATCTTCCTCTTTCTCTTCTTCCTCCTCCTTTCCTTCCCTCCCCCCTGCTCCACTCCACAAAGCCTTTCTAGCACTGATGATGTTACCTAGTTGGGTCATGAAATGTCTGCAAGAAAACCACCAAGCTCAGAGAGCATCAAAGACCCCACAGTTCCACCCTGAGCTACAAATCCTGCAACCTTATCCTGGGACACGTATACTTGTCTTCATTCGTACAAATACATTTGTACAAATATAGTCTTCTATTGGCACTAAAGCGTAGCTCACTTTTTCCCAGTACGGCTTTTTCTCGGTTGTCCTTGAGCTAATAAGCCAATAAAGCCTTTGCCTTTGAATTGTGTCCATAAACGCCTCCCTTTTCAATCCCAGGCCAAGAAGACGAAAGAACTGGAAGATATTCTGAGCGAGAAAGGATTCCAAGACACCCAATATCCAGGCTACAAGGACTTCAGGGCTGAGGCCTTCCTTCACCAACAGCAAAGGCAAGAATGCCTAAGGAAAGCCGGAGAAGCATATCGCATGGGGATGAAGCCAGTGGCGGCGTTTTATGTGCAACAGGTAACTTTATTTTAACCAGTGATGAAGCAACATTTCAGCACAGAGGCAGCCATTCCGGAAAGCCACAAACTGCACAGGAACATGAGGAAGTAGGACGTGGTTTCTCAGATGATATAATTCTGTGGCTCTCAAGACTTCTTTCAAAACCCTCCTCCCTTCCCCTCCAGGCCTTCCGGGAGGCAAAAACCGAGGATCAAATGAATACAGGCAACCTCCTACTTAGCACCACAATTGGGCCCAACATTTCTGTTGCTAAGTGAGTTTTGCCCCATGTTACGACCGTTCTTGCCACGGTTGTTAAGTGAATCCCTGCAATTGTTAAGTTAGTAACACGGTTGTTAAGCGAATGTGGCTTCCCCCATTGATTTTGCTTGTCGGAAGGTCGCAAAAGGAGATCGCATGATCCCAGGACACGACAACCGTCATAAATGTGAGTCGCTTGCCAAGCATCTGAATTTGGATCACATGACCACGGGGTTGCAGCAACGGTTGTCAGTGTGAAACATGGCCATAGGTCACTTTTTTCCGTCACTAAAGGAATGGTTGTAAGTCGACAACTACCTATATCCTGACTTGCCTAAGAAATCCGGCAAGAAAAATCACAACATGGGGCAAAGTCCACTTAACAAATTTCTCACCTTGCAACTGAAATTTAGGGCTCAATTGTGGCCGTAAGTTGAGAACTACCCGTATCCGTTAAATACCCCGTGATGTTTTTAATTTCCTCAATTTTCCATTCATTCCTCCCTTCCTTCTTCCTGTTCCTGCTTCATACCTATGTTCAGTTGAACTGCAGCTACCCGCAACAAGAGGTAACTGACCAGTGCGGTTAAAAGATTCAGCTCATTGTTGTGAGACGCTGAGAAGGATTCAGTTCTTTGCTTGTGGTAGAACGGTTCTCCCCGTAACTAGTATCACACTTAAGTTGCTGTTGTGTGTGTTTGAAGGGTCAGCTTCATGAGGAGAAGATGAAAGAAGCCAATGAAGACGCAGCTCAGCAAATCTTTGAGACAGTCAACGCTTCAAAGCTGCCTATCAACCTTTTGGACCTTCATGGTCTTCACGTGGATGAAGCTTTGAGCCACCTCTCTAGAGTCCTGCAGGAGAAAACCAAAGGTAAGATGTCAGAGCGTGCACAGTGTGACCATGGGAGACAACCCAGGAACAAACAGAGGATGCATAATGGTTTTATCCAAGAATATATACATACACATAGTCAGACCTCAAACAAACAGCAATCAGCAATTACAGCAGGGAAGCACACATGGAAAGAGAGATACGCCCCCAACATGGTCTCTTCTTATTACAGGCTCTTAAAGTGATATCAGCCCAAAAACCTTACTGACTCATTCCCAGTGTTACATCATTGTAGCAGCTCGTCAGTTCTTAAGTCTTTACCCTGATGTAAGAGTCATCTTTCCACATAAACAGATGAATTCTTCCAGAAAACAAGCATAGAAATGAGGACATGATATACCATCGAAATTAACTGCGGTGGCACAATTGTGATTTGGGGTGGGTTAAAAGTAGATACCATACTTTTCAGAGTATAAGACACACACACACCCCTCCCAAGAGAGTGGAAATGCTGGTGGGTCTTGTATACCGAATACGACTATTTTTGGCCTCTCAAAACCCCACCCTACGGGTCTGTTTTTGGCAAAAACAGGGCACGCAGAGGGTTTGGGAGGCCTGCAAAGTGCTCCTGGGGGCTGGGGAGAGCAAAAGTCCGAAAAATATGTACTTGCTTTGCATTTGAAACATCTGGATTTTCATTCTTGCCCTCTAAGGAGCTGAACTGAAGCAAGATTCTGATCAGAATAGGTAGAATCAGGCTGGAAGCCAGTCTATTGCACACAGGTAGTCCTCAACCTATGACCACAGTTGAGCCCAACATTTCTGTTGTTAGGTGAGACAGTTGGTAAGTGAGTTTTGCTTCACTGTACAACCTTTCTTGCCGCAGTTGTTAAGTGAATCACTGCCATTGATAAGTTAATAGCCCAGTTGTTAAGTGAATCTGGCTTCCCCATCGGCTTTGCTTGTCCGAAGGTCGCAATAGGAGATCACGTGACCTTGGGACACAACAACAGTCATAAGGTTGAACCAAGTGCCAAGCATCCGGATTTTGACCGTGGGGCTGCTACAAAGGTCATCAGTGTGGGAAAAACTGTCACCAGTCCCCTTTTTAGTGCCGTTGTAACTTTGAACGGTTACTAAATGAACTGTTGTAAGTCGGGGACTACCCGTAAGAGCCTTTTTATTTTACTCATCAGCAGAAGGGCTCTTTTCAACAGTAGCGTGGTCAAACATGTCCGTTGGTTTAGGTTCTTCTGCTTGGGCGGGGGGGGGGTGGACTAGATCAGGCCGTTTCGACCTTGCGTTGTGGCCCGCTGGCGGCCAGTGGAGCTGAGAGCAGAGTCAGACAGTGAAGAGGTTGGGGAGGAACCTGGGCCAGTCCTGGGGGCTGAGGAAAGCTCAGAGGAGGCCTCTGCATCAGAGGCAGAGAGGGAGTTAGACAGCTGGAGCCTGTTCCCAGTGTGCGCATGCACAGAGCTGCCAGAAGACAAGAACAACTAAGAAAACAGGGTTGACTTGGGAGTAAAGCCACACCTTGGAGATGATTGGAAACAAAAGAGGAGTAAACGGGGAGTGGGCTTTTGCAGGAAATAATTTGTTCTTTCGATTGTTTCAAGAGTGGAAAGTTCTGTTTGTTACTATAAGAGACTCTGTGCCAAGTTTTGCCTTGCCCTGCGTTTGGGAACTCGTTATCTGGCAGCTCGCCAAACGAGATAAGGTTCGTGTTGATAAACATTCCTTGGAAAGACTGTTCGCCAAGCCTGGCTGACTGCAAATGAAAGGAATTCACAGTCATGTAAATAAAAGGGGTTTTGCTGGGACCAAGACTCTGCTTCATGCTTTTTAAGGAATCCTGGGTCAGAACATCTTGGCAACTTTAAGGCAAAGCTAAGCTGTCTGAGGAATTCTGAGAGTTGAAGCCCACAAGTCTTAAAAGTTGCCAAGGTTGGAGACTCCTGGACTAGATGACCTACAAGATCCCTTCCAACTCTGTTAATCTGTATGTTTAAAATGCCGAATCTCTGAAGAGAGCACATCTGTCATTCTTGCGAAACAGAGTACAGCCTGGCAGGCGGCATACCGTATCTCTACGTGATCACCGGAAGGGGAAACCATAGCCAGGGAGGGGTTGCTCGGATCAAGCCAGCAGTTATGAAATACCTCACCAGCCACAAATTCAGGTGAGTTCTCAACGTCTGGTAACCGAACACATTGGCAGTTTAACTGCTTCAGGACTGGCGCTCTTGTTTTCTAGAAAGGCTAAATTGGGAGTCTGGTCGTGATTCTCTGCAGGTAGTCCTCGACTTTACGTCCCCAATCGAGCACCACATTTCTTGTTGCTAAGTGAGACAGTTGTTAAAATGAGTTTTGCCCAGTTTTACAATCTTTCTTGCCGCGGTTGTTAAGTGAATTGTTGCAGTTGTTAAATTAGTAACCCGGTTATTAAGTTAATCTCCCCCCCCCCATTGACTTTACTTGTCAGAAGGTCTCAAAGGGGGGTCACATGACCCTTGGGACATGTTTGTTTAATGACTATTTCAAGTTATAACATCACTGAGAAAAATGACCTAATGGCTGTTTTTTGCACTTAATAACTCTGACAGCATCCCCATGATCATGTGATAAAAATTCAGATGCTTGGCAACTAACTCTTATTTATGACGCTTGCAGCGTCCCGGGGTCACGTGAGCCCCTTTTGCAACCTTCTGGCAAGCCCAAGTCAGCGGGGAAGCCAGATTCACTTAACAACTGTGCTACTAATTTAATAACTGCAGTGATTCACTTAACAGTGGTGCCAGGGAAGAGTCATAAAATGGAGCAAAACTCACTTAACCAATGTCTCGCTTAGCAACATAAATGTTGGGCTCAATTGTGGTTGTTAGTCGAGGACTGCCTGTATCAATATTTGGATAATCCTGTCAAGTGTTTAGGGCAGCCTTTTCACGATCTGGTAGCTCTCTCTGCACAAGAGCCATTTGTGAGAGTTTGCAGCAATCCAGCCAGCACCCAAGTAAATAATTCAGCAGGATTCATGTATAAAAGAAACCTTCTTTATATACAGTAATATAAAGCATGATGCATGTATACAATACCCATGCAGCAGAAGCCAGAACCAGAAATCACAGAATCAATATAATCAGAGAGGCTATATTGCCCTGATGCCAGGTGGCATGCGGAGCCCTTTCTACGGGCACGCAAGCCGTCACCCCATGTCAGCTCTACCATGCATGGACACGCTCCTCCCACCGGCCAGCTGATTTTTGGGTCTCTGCTGCATATGCATGGGCGGGCGGGGAGAATGTGGGATATGCACATGCATACCCAGGGAACGGGAAGGAAGTGCGGGGGCGCACCACCCCGCCCCCCCCCCACAGCCCACTTTTTGTCCCAGGAGGCTGCAGGGAGGCCTACTAGACCCAAAATGCGGCAACGGGGGTGTCACACGCCCATGCCTGAGGGTGTTGTGTGCGCATGCACACAGGTCTGGGGCATGCACGGGGGGGTGTCACATGTGCATTGCATTATGTTGCATGTGCACGCTTTCGGCACGTGACGACAAAAAGGTTAGCCATCACTGCAAGGACTAACCAATTCTTTTAGACATAACAGTCAAGTTAAGCCACGCCCAGGCTCTGAGCCGTCTGGGTCACCAAACTGTTCCCATTGGCTAACCTGTTACCATGTCTATTCCAATTTATGAACTCTCATACACTGACACCATTGCACCTGTGATACTTTTTAAAATGCCAACTGTATGTATCCATGGTCACCAAAAAAAAAAACCAACCTGGAATCCAAATAATGAAACTTAATCCAAAGATTATGTTCTCCTTCATGGAAGCCCAGAGAAGTTTTGTTATTAACATCGTAATTGAAACAGAAGAAATCATAATAGTTTTGTTCCTTCTATTCACTGTTGTTTGTATTCATTATTCAGAACAGTATTTAAGTGAAATCTCTTCCCGTTCGGCAGGTTCACAGAAATAAAGTCAGGCTGTTTTAAGATCTTGTTGGAATAAAAAGGAAGTCAAGCCAAGAGGATCTGAAAAGCTGAGGTTACACCAAAGCAGAAACAACGTCACATTTTAATGGGATAAATGTGTGACTTGTCAAAAACAAGATTTCAGTGGAAAGGGCTTAACTGTCAGCAGGTGTTTGTGTCAATGTGTTTTTTTCCTACCAAATCTTTGTGTGTGTGTGTGTGTGTTTTAATGAGAAGTATTTTTATAAGCCACCTACCTATCAAGAAGTACATCCAGTAACTACCTTCACAACAAGAAATACGTTTTTCAAAGGGAAAAGCAGATGTTTCAGTCGGAAAAACTCTGCCCTTTTCAGACTTTTAACAAATACCCATAAACACCTGGAATATAGTGTTTTTTTTAAAAAAAATGGTCTCTACTCCATTTGAAATTATGGCTGAGCTTACATCGGATGCTTCGAAGGACTCTACGAGGTTTCGGATTATAAGAGCTAACGATTGCCTCCTTGTGTGTTTTTCACAAGAATGCTTGGCTCACTTCCGAAAACGAGGAGAAAATGGGTTGCATTTATTTTCAGGGCAAAAACAAAATGATGTAGCTTGTATCTCAGCTTTTCATTTCTTTTCTCCTCCTGTTTATCTCTAATGCACCGGCAGGCTGCCTGATGGGATAGTAAAACTGTGGTGAGAAAGAACTGGCAGGGCCTATTCGCTTAGAGGTTTGGCCTTGACTGCTTATTTGGGTAAGTGTCATTTGCTAGAATTGGGCCCTGTCATTGCAAGGATAATTCACGACTTGGGAGCTTTCGATGCTCCCACAGAACTCGGTATCAGCAGGCCGAGCCTGTCAATATTAAGATCTGCCATTAAGTGCAACAAGCATTGAACAACGAACACAGAAGTGTATATTCAGGTATATCTTTGCATTGTGAGCAAAACGCCAGCCCGCAATGGTTATTGCCAATACTTCTGGAAAAGACTCTAAGGAAAACCCACCTTCTCGGTCCTAACGCCATAAAAACGACGCAGGTTCTCTTAGAGAAAACACCAGCATCCGTTTTATGACTGTGTATAAAAGATGACCAGTTCTGAGCACATCCTCATGTCATTAAGTAGAACACAAATAGAAGACTCCTATGGCAGCTATTCCGATCATTCTGCATCGACTGATGGTTTTTTTTTCCCCTTGTCATTTTGCCATGAATTTACAGTGGTTTTGTCAAACTAGCATCTGGGAAGCCAAAGCGTTGTAGTGCATCCTTGCAGGTCTTGGTGATATTTTTGTGACCTGTTTTTTAAAATCTTTCTTTAAGACACAATGTAATTGTACATTTAGTATGGGGTTTTTTTGTTTTTTTTTTAAAAAAAGATGAGATTGCTGAAGGGAATATGTGACTGTTTATGGTGTTTTTAAAAACACTTTTCTGAGTCAGAATATATAGGGTGATTCCTGAGCTGAATTTCTGCTGTGGTATTCAGTTCCTCTCTACCGAACCAATTAAGACAAATAGAAATGTTTTAAGATCATGTATTACTTTCTTGAGAAAAACGGAATGGACAATTTTATGTTTCTCCTTTCAAAAGAGAGCAGCAATTTTTTTTCAAATACTTTTTTCAGTAAGCCTTTTCCTTTTTAAAAAAAAAAAATGCAGATTTTATGCAAGCCCGCATTGTGAGTTTCAGACATTTTTCAGTTCCTTTAAAAAGGGCATTTCAGTAAAATCTAGAGCTAAGAACAAGAAGGGAATAAATTGCAAGCAGGCCCAATAAAAGCTACTGCAATCAGTGTTATCCCATCCAACTCATAGTTGAAATAGATGATTTTAAAACTGTCCTGTCATCTTTCAAACGACATGACTTTGCATCTGGGTCTGTCTGACCATCACTTGTGCAAGGATCGTAGGACAAAGTAACATGAATACAATTTGTCAAAGGCATCTTGTCATTACATTTTGTTTTTTGATTATTTAACTCCAGATGCTTTTAGGGAAGGTGGACTCATGACCCGGATTGGCTTAAGAACGGTCTTTCCGTCCAAGGAGTGAAATGTTTTTCAACCAGATTCAACGGTCATCCATAAGGCTCCACATTTGTCCCCATGATTTCACCTCCTATTCCACAGGAATTGGGGGGTGATTCCTTCTTTCCACAACCCAAGGGCATTTGACAATTCTAAATTCACCCTTCCTGAGAGTATTATTTTTTTTGTAAACCCCCCCCCCCCC